GGTGGTCTGTCATAATTAGATCTCACATGATGAACATCTGAAAGAAGCAGAGTTCTAATGCCAGAAAAGGTTTCAGTTACACAATTATCATCAATATAAAAGAACATCATACTGCTTTCAGAGGGAGGATCTGGACCACTATACTTTACTACCAAATGATCTTGACTGGAAACTTTATTTCTGGTATACACTTTATGCAGGGCTTGAATAGAGGAGCCAGTTTCAGCAGGATCTGCATTAACATTGATGTCTTTCTTTGAAAATCTCACACTACTGCCCATGTTTCTCAGGCTAGTATCACCTATATCAACAAATGTGATTATTGACATTATTAAAATTAGAATTCCCTGGATAGCTCAATAATAAAAAATCCAGACATTCCAAAAAGTTGTTTACATAATGAAAGAGAATAATTTTTATGCACTAATCAAATTGATGATGGAAACCCTTGATTGTAAGGTTAGTTTCTTTGGCTTGTGTGCCAGAAACAAGATGCCATAATAATACCAAGTTAATTGGAAGCTTGTGGAACAAAATTGGCTGACATGGCAGAGCAGACTGAAGTGATTACATCAATTTTTTGGGATATCTTGTCAATAATTATAGAACTTCCAAGAAAATTTTACTTTTATAAGATCATCTTCAAGAGGATAAATTTTTTGGCAAAATTACTATTACCTTCAGCAGGATCTAGCACATTCTTGAGGTCCTTTTCAATGTAACATTCACTATGTACTAAGTTTCTGTCCAAATCTTTAGACTCTTCTTGGAGTCCTTCAGACTTGCTGAGTAGAGGCTTGGATATATCAGCCTCCAGAAGCTTTCTGTTCAAAACCATGTGTGTGTTGCCATAAAAGAAGAGAGTTTTGCTCCCACTAGTCTCAGGAGTAAAAACAGACAAGTTCTGTGCATTGGCGCCAGCAAGCTGTTCATGCATAGTGGTTGGACATGTGTCTTTCTCAACATTACCAAGAGCAACATCCTCACCATGAGATATCATTGCCACCTGGTAATTCGTTTGAAACCCATCCAGATCTTTATCATGACTGTCAAGGACAACAGATTTGGAATGTTCAAAACTTGGGACAACTGAATCTGGACTGACATTTTGAATTTGCATCTCCTCCTTTTCAACATGTGCTCCCTCAGTTAGAGTGGCTGCAAGTTTAACAGAAAATTCCAGTTGTAGGAAACATGATATGATAGAATCTAATCATGGTTGATGTTAAGTATAAATAATAGACCGGGTCCTTCACTATTAACCTAAAACTTTTAAAAGATATATCTACTTTAACTTCGTTATTTAACATGGTATCGAAACAAAAAATCTAGTATTCAAATCTGACAGCCATTTTCCAATTTCTCTCATTAATTGTAGCATTACATACCATGAGTCTTTGATAGATCCACATCCTTCAACCTAGAAAGCTTAAATGGCCATATTAATATATAAATAATAAATCAGGTTATCTTCAATCAATTTAAGCTTTTAGGAAAACTGTTTCGCCTCTATTATGTAAAAGTTAAAATCAAACTACCATAAGTTAGCAGCAAAAACACTAGCAAACAATGAGGTTTTGGTGTTTTAACTGTACCAAGAGATGGAATATCTGCAAAATTGGTAGTTTCATTATTTTCCTCACTGAAAGTTGCCCTGCAAGGCATTTCTGAAGGGGTGATTGTTGCCATTTCCTTCGCTGATGCCTTCTTCAACAGAGGGATTGCTTGGGGAAGTAGAAGGGTCATCATTGACTTTGTAATTGCTTCACCAGCTAAATCAAAATAACTCAAACTAACATTCGAAACAGATGTAACTGTCTCTTCTTCTGGGTGCAATTCAGACACCAATCCTTCATTAACGATCATATAAGCATCTGTCAATCCTTCTTTTATAGGACCAATACTTTTATCCCCGATACTTGAGGCAGACATTTCATCTGCATGCAACTGCTGTCAATAACCGTTTGGGGGGAGGAAAATGATGCTGTGTTGCCGAAATTTTAGAGCAAGAACTTTATTGATCAGAATAATTGTCTACTAAAGATTACCTTGCAGAAAGTCTAATGTATCAGGTGCATAAACATTGGCTTCATCTATGGCTGGGCAATCTTTGGGAACTGGTGCATCTCCAGCTGTGCTTTCTATTACCATTGGTAAACAGGAACCTTTATCCTCAGTATCTTGTGACCTATCATTCTGAGAGAAATTAAGAATGCTTCTTTATCTAAACCAATTGGTTAAAGAACCATGATTGCAGATAACATTCAGACGCAACAGTTTGAGTACTTCGATAAAATAGCGCATTATTGCAATGACCTAAATACTGTGAGAAAACATACGAATATAAGGGTATGTATACATAGAGAAAATCAAGGAATTTTTAGTTGAATATCTTCTTAGGAAATTTTTATAATAGGGAAGATGCATTTGCTGATGTTACCTCTTTTGACAAATTGTTGGCTGCCACAGTGCTTCTCCTGAGCTCAATATCCTCTTGATCAGTGACAACCTCCTCCCTGAGCTGATCATATAGGGGAACTGATTCCAATTGAAAGTCACCTTTAGATTCTGAAGGTATAGGTTTCAACTGAATTCTTGATGGAGATCCTCCTGGAAGTCTACAAAGATCATTTTTTACTTTTGAAGAAGAGGGAAACACAAAATTCTCCTTTTCATTTCTCTTATTCTTTTCTTCCAAATCTGAAGCCTCAAGATTAGATGAAAAATCTTGAGTTCGTGGTCTTTTAAGGCCTGCCGTACTTGCTAACTTTTTATTTGCAATTCCTGATCTCCTACTTCTCTTCTTTCTACTTTGTGGTTTAGCCAAGTATGACAATAAATTGAGATTTGTACGTGCATCTGCATATAGATTAGCATCTTCAAGTTTACCAGGCTTGTTGCAAAAACTTGAAGATAACAGACTCGATTCTGATGTTCGGTTGACATTGGCCACCAGTTCCCGAAGCAATCTTTGGACAAATGGATTTTTAAACCCGAAAAACTGCAAATCACATGCAAGACAGGAGGAATGTAGTTTCACTTAATCTTATGGATTCTTTTCACCAAAGAATAGACATTTCTGAAACTGAACATGAAGGATAAAGATAAATAAACAGAAAATGATCTCTGAGTTTAGCCATCTATTACCAGATTGAAGTAAAAAATTATCCAGCATTGCCAAAAAGCACGGTTGTCATAATATAGTAACAGAAGCAGCATAAGATACTCAAACAGATCGCTCAGAATAGTTATTCAATATGCTCCATCTTATCCAGATTACTTGAAAACCTTGGTAATATTATTTGTTCGTCTCTTCAGTAAATGCCCCAGTGAGATGAACCTTAATGTACATGTGAAGCAACAGAGTTGACTAGATGATGAAGAGAATTCATGCACTGTCAGCTGCTAATTATCCTTCCTCCGCAGGATGGGTGGAGGTGTAATCATGACTATCTATAAATCCCTAAATTTTCATATTTGTGATTCTCATGCAAAATTCTTTTCTAACTATTACGAAAGGATGAAATTTCCAATCAAGGTAAGTGATTTCAAAATATGGATCATTGTAAACAAATTTATCTTGAACTAGGTTTTCAGCAGAGTGATTTCAAAAGTATTAAGTATACCTCCACACCATCTATCTTGCTCGAAAATCTCTTCACGTGCAATATCTTCAAGCGTGGGCAACTTGTCTTCTGGACTTGCTCCCATGCAATATCTGGAGTTTGCCCAGAAGATATATGTCCATCAGCAGAATTAATCTACATAAAATTATTGAACCTGCATTTTGTTAGTTGATTATGCCAGATACCACAATTTGAGAGCTGCAAGTTCTGCCTACCCACCAAAAACAAAGGCCCCTTTGCACCTTCATGAATTTCCATCTTATATGTGCTCCCATTATAACCTCGAATGGCTTTGTAACCCACAGGATAAGGATAACGGTCTTTACCCTAAAAAACAAGAAGATTAAACCAACAGCAAACATGACCCTAAGTGAAACATATATGTAGGAAGAAATTATACTGCATATAATTATCATGCGAAGATTCAAGTTCTCTGTGCACAATGGGCTAACTCTATAAGTTGTCGCCAAAATCCAAATTACCAATTAAAATGATCCTTGAATATACAAAGTATTGTCTGAAATTACACATAGAAAGAAGCACCCGATATACACAAAAAGTATCCTCTCAAAATACACCTACACACACAAGTACAAACGTTGCCATCCTAGGATCATTCAATCCTAAATTTCTTACTCCAAAAGCTACCCCATTGTAGAGTTAGCTAGAGTGTTGTAGATAAATATTTTCAATGACTGAATAGAATTAGAGAATTTAAACCATGTCACTCTCATACCCATATACAGATACTAAAACTTAACATCAGACAAGCCATATATATAAAGATCAATCAATTGATCCTTTCTACATTTCCAAAGCTAATATGCTTTCAATGAGAGAAAAAAATTTTCAATTTAGGCTTTTTAAGGCACAAACAGCCTCCTGTACAAACAGGCTTCATCAGCATACCATTTAATGACAGATTTTGTGTCTCTTTTTACCTTGTAGCAACTGGGCATCCTAAGAAGCAGGTGAAGCATATAATCACCTAACTAGATCAGAAGGCTTTTTCTCCCTCCAAACCATAGTTCTACCAAAATTCCAAATCTTTTTTTTTAAATAAAAGGAATCAAAATTCGAAGCCTAGTTAAGCATTATTTAGCAATTCTCTGCAATAAAATTGAAAATAAAAAGTTCCACTAAGTTGAAACTTACACCCATGAGACTGTTTACACGGAAGTACATAACCTCTTCAACTACTAGGATATGATAAGTTTCAATATACCACTTATCTCTTGTACTTAAGTTGTACTCTATCGGTAGAATTGAGTTTACCATACCTTTGTATGCCCAAATAATTTAACATTATACAATTAACCAACGCATTGAGAGCTCATTCATTCATAACCTTCATATGGTATCAAAGCCATCTTGCTCCTAGAAGAAGTTAAATTTTGGCTTTCACCATGAATCACTCTCAACGGTCTGATTCCTTAACTATTCCAGCCAAAATTTTCTATTGCCTCTATTCCTAGGCCATCTCTTCATCCATTTGTTGGAAATACTTTTTCTTCCAATCTTCTTGGTATATGGTTTCATATATCATAATGATGGCAGTGCTTAATGTCCTGCAGCTACTACCACCAATGATGATGATAGTTTTGCCTTTCCAAACCTTGAGGCCACATTCTAGAAGTAGGTCAATTCCTTTAGTCTGTTATAGATACAAGCCACTCTCTTGGCTATTATACCTAGAAAGCTTTTAAACCTAATATTACCCTTTCAATAGAGAAGCATGGTTGACCAAAGGAAAACTATTCATGATCAAGTTCATGCAAAACAGATGCAATTAAAATTTGACTTTTACAACATAATGAAAGATCATTTGTCCGTGCATTTCTATCTCCAAAGAATAAAATCTGTATGACTCTCTCATATCTATTGATCATGACT